CCGCCCCCCCCCCCCCCCCCCCCCCCCCCGCGGCTTTGCAAAGCCTCTGGGAAGCTGGCAGGGGAGCAGTCCAGGCGGCTTGGGCTGCCTCGCTGCCCGAGCCCCCCCGCAGCTTTGCAAAGCCGTGGGGAAGCCGGCAGCGGAGCAGTCCAGGCGCGCCTGGGCTGCCTTGCTGCCCGAGCCCCCCCGCAGCTTTGCAAAGCCGCGGGGAAGCCAGCAGCGGAGCAGTCCAGGCGCGCCTGGGCTGCCTTGCTGCCCGAGCCCCCCCGCGGCTTTGCAAAGCCGCGCGGGGGAGGGAAGGGAGCTCGGGCAGGGGGCTGCCCCGCTGCCCGAGCCCCTCCGCGGCTTTGCTCTGTGTCTTCCTGGTCTGCAGACCAGGGAGTCGCAGAGCAAAGCCCCAGAGTACATGGGTGGCAGGACCGCGAGGTCCCGCAGTCCGTGTACTCTGGGGCAGCCCCGTTCGTAACTGCAGATCCGACATAAGTCGGATCCGCGTAAGTCGGGGACTGCCTGTACATACATAGATATATATATATAGTCTGAGTTTCAGATATGCTGAGTCACCCACACCTCCCAGCAACATTTTAGCTAACTAGCCTACAGCTAGGTACTTTAGTCTAAAAGCAACCAAGTCAATAGCAGAACAGGGATTAGAACCACCAGCCTAGCAGCTGCTAGGACAGTACACTAACCATTAAGGCACACAGCTTGGGCTGGTTTCAAGCCCATGCAAGTAGTATATATTTATACTTGGTTGTACACCGCTAACGTTCTGAGATTCAAGAAGGATAAAATTAGTGAGGGCTTTAACTTGACAATGATGACACCTTCCTTTTGTGAGTGCACCAAGGAGGCAGTGTGTCCTAATGGTCAGTGCACAACATTAGGAAGCAACAGCTCTTAGGTTCTTATCCCTGCTCTGCTACAGAGTTGAAAACCAGCACTTATGCCATTGTTTTTAGACTAAAGTACCTAGATTTAGGCTAGTTAACTAAAACATTGATGGGAGGTGAAGGTGACTCAGCGTGTCTGAAACTCTGGCCATTTATTTTGGCAGCCCCTGTAAATGTGGCCGTAGCCTATTCCTCTCCTCTCTGTCTCAATTGCTCCAGCTCACATGACTGGCACTCAGGAAACCTAGGTCTTATGACATCCACTGACTTGCTGGGTAAGTCACTACTCCCTGTGCCTCAGTTTCACCCCCCACCCTTTGTCTGCCCAGTTCAGGGATCCCCTTAGGAGGGTTCAGGATCTTGAGCGGAGGTGACTTCTGCCATGCTGGCAAATTGCACCAGCCCATGGGCCTCTCCCAAAGTGTGGGGCCCAGCCTGATAGCCCCAATTCACCATACCTTAGGGCTAGCTCTGGCCCTTGTCTATGACAGTAAGCTCTTCAGGACGGAGGCTTTGCATAGTGCTGCCATAACACAAGTAAACATACCACTACTGCCACTTTCAGAGGTGTTATGAGAATCAGTGTTTGTGAAGGTGTAAAGTGCAGTATCAACTCAGAGAGGTGTGTATTCAGAGGATGAATTTTAAAGCAACCCCTCTCCCCTCTTTTTCTGTTTTATAATTCATCCTCTGTGCCTCTTGCTCCATATTTTTCACCCGAGGAAGAGGGTTGTGCCCACAAAAGCTCATGATACTAAGGTGAAACAGAACTGTTAGCTTTGATCTTATTAAGAAGACTCAGGAGTTTATAAACCAACAGCTCAGAGCTGGAAATACATTAGAAAGCAATCAATGAGACTCTCAGCTTGGTTGAAAAGAAATCTCCAGAATCAGCATTGACCCTTGGATCCTAGAAGAGGCTCTTCCAAGAAAAGCATACTAAGGAAATGCATTGAAAATTCTTCATTAGGCAGAATCACATCGGCTGCTGAAAACACTCCTTTTAAGATACTCCATTCCTCACTATGTAGGATCAATCACAGTGTTCCATAAAAGCTTTAAGACTTGGCTGAATCTTTGGGAGAGAAAATGGAATATTTTGTTAAAGAAAAAAAGAAGTTTTCAGGAGAGATAGGCAGCACTTATGAGACATTAGCTTCCAGCATCTTTTTTCTTGACAGTCAGTTTAGATTTTTGATTCCCACTAAGCCTACTTTATTATCTTAATTAAAAGGGACACAAAGATTTTATGACCCCCCAACACGAGATTTCAAAGGTTAATTCAACTTTGTTGAAAGAGAAATTGATTCAGCGACAAAATGATGACAGCTTGTGTCCATAAACTCTTTAAAAGCCAAGTCAGACTTAGTTTTTATCCACTTTATAGCAATGCAAGTCCTGTGTGTAGCAGCCCTATTTTGTTGTTTCTCTAATTAGTGCTGATGAAGTGTTCTTAGCAGCGTGGAGCAATTATTGCAAAATATTATCTGCATAGATTTGTTTGCATTTGGAAGCAAGTTTTCATTCAAGACCGTTCTTTTCACACTTTCACCTTTGCTCCCTGTAAAAAAAAATCACTGACAAAAATGAATTTGAAGCATGCATGCTTAAGTATTGACTGAAAGTGGTTTTCATATGATGCATCCACATGCACAAGTTGCAATGCCGGACTAGAAT